AGAATTGAATTTGTAAAATCAGTATCATATTATTTAAAAAAATAATTGTACTTTTATGTTAGTTTCAGAAAAAAATATTTCTGATAATTATTATTATTTGACTAGTTTTATTGAATTTTTATATTATATTACATTTATGAATCCTGTGTATGGCGTTATTAAAAAAAATTATTGTATTTTATGCATTATAAAAATAATTATTAGTTAATAAACGTTGTATATTCGTATATTTTTACGTTGTAAATTTATGGCCCAATCTCCGGGTAGTAAAATGTAAACAAATATTTTATACGAAGCAGGTAGATAAAATGAGAATCATTCGTTTATTCATTTAAACCTCCAAATGGAAATAAATTTCAAATACCACCTCCGCTCCCATTGGCAACGTTTCGGTGACCCCATAGTCAAAACCGCTTTAAATAAACAGGTAACAAAGGTCAAAGAACTGATGTCGGCTTACAATAACCACAAGTGGTCAAACTTCTTAGAATCCTTGTGCGACTCCTCTGTAGGTTGGCAACGCTTCTTCAAGCTCAACCCAGCCTTGTCGAGAAAACACCCAGCAACTCGACCTCTAAAAGACTCTTCTGTCACCCTAATCCATGATACCAAGTTAAAGGCAGAACTTTTCGCAAATTCCATGGTCAATCAATTTAGCACTCCACCATCCACGAGTAATACCGACAACTTGGTAAACGACGAATTACTTTCTTTAAAATCCTGCCCTCGCAACCAGCCCATATACTTCACTCTAGGCGAAGTCTAGAACACCATAAAGACCCTCCCTACCCGCAAAGCAGCAGACCCTGATGGCATCAGCAACAGTGCCCTCAAATACTGCGGCAGAAAAACAATATCCCACATTTGCCATATTTTCAACTCCTGCTCCAGAGCCGAATACTTCCCCCACGAATGGAAACGAGCAGTAATCATTATGATCCCCAAACCCGGCAAAGATGTTTTAAACCCTAAAAACTTCAGACCAATTTCACTCCTAAATTCAATCTCTTAAGTTTTCGAACGTCTGTTGCTCAACAGAATCCACTCATCCCACCTTATTCATCACGTCCAACATGGTTTTCGCCATAACCACAGTACCTCTACCCAACTTCTCACCGTCATCGACGATATCGTAAATAACTTCAATAAACGAATCAAGTCCGTGGCTACCTTGTTAGACGTCGAAAAAGCCTTTGATAAGGTTTGGCACGACGGCCTTATTTTCAAACTCTCAGCACTAAACCTTCCAGTCCAACTCATCAATATCATCAAATCTTTTCTCTCAAACAGATCATTCTACGTAAAAGTCGACAATCAGTTCTCAACCGTCAAACCCATACAGGCAGGGGTGCCCCAAGGCTCCTGTCTATCCACTCATCTCTTCTCTCTCTACATCAACGACATGCCCAAACATACAAACTGCAAAACAGCTCTTTTCGCCGACGACACCCTATACTTATTCCAGGGCAGAACTAACAATTCCGCGATTCGTAAACTTCAACAACAACTAAACTTGTCCCAACCGTGGTTCGACGAATGAAAAATAACCATAAACCCTCTAAAAACATCCGCCATCATCTTTACCAACAAACCCAAAACCGTCTCCAACAAACTCAAAATCAAAAATAATACAATCAATTGGTCCCCCTTCGTTAATATCTCAGTGTCCACCTAGACAATAAACTAACATTTTCTAAACACATCGACTACATTTCCAAAAATTTCAAAATGGCCAGATACCTTCTCTACCCAATAATTTCCCATAACAGCCCCCTCTCCCTTTCCAACAAAACTTTCGTCTACAAATCTTATCTGAGACCAATCATAACTTATGCCAGTCCTATATGGGCTTCCAACATATCCAAGTCCAACCGTAACAAACTAGAAGTACTCCAAAACACCACTCTGCGTACAATCACTGGTCTCCCGTGGTTTGTATTCAACCAAACGATCCGCAACTCAACTAGAGTCATCCCTCTCCCCGAACAAACCTACATCGAAACTAATAATTTAAAAGCTGCCGTTATCAATTTCCCGATTCCTACGATCCGTGAAATTTCGACCAAACCCTGCATCTCCCCTCGCTACAGAAATCGCCCCATCTCCTTATAACTCCCCACCCTAGTTAAACTCGCAAAACATTTTCAGATCCTATATTCCACACTCTGAGAGAGGCAAAAGCCTGAAGCAGAGCACCCCCCCCCCCCCCACAAAGCAAAGCAATAAAATGAGGTCCAATAACCGACCGCCCGGAACATAATGCATAGGTAGTATGTTTAAGTAAATGATCAAACACAGGTATTGAAAGTTCGTCTGAACTTTAGAAAATTACAAATAAAACAATTAAAACAACTTCTTTCTTTTAATATGGCATTCTTTACTATACATATTAATAATAGTAAAATATTTACAACAAATATGGATAATGTCAAAACACTCGCATGTAGTATAATTATATTGTATTACTATATATGTAATAAATCTTAATAATTTACAAATCAAATTTTATTTATTATATAAAAACAATGTATTATACTTATAATTATATAATATATATATTATAATATTACGACCAGACCATCTATTTATGGAATTTACACTTCGCACATGAACTTATATTAGAAAAGTACAGCAGTACAGTTATACACTTCAGTCATTTAAACTACGGAATTATTTTGTAATTGTAAACATATCATATTTAAAATAAAAACAAAAAATTGGATTATAAATTCATAACTATAACTTATATAATATATTTGTAATAGATACAATAATAATATTCATGTATTAAGACAAAAGCACAAACATACAGTGTGTAGTACCGCACGCCTAGCATTTATTAAAGGATATTATTATTGTTAATAAATTAACTACTAATTTGTGCGAACAGAATAGCGATTCACTAATGTGATATGAATTTTATAACATAATACATACCTATATATATATATATTAAGTTATTATACATACATATATTTTTATTTAAAAAGAATCATAATTTATTCTGTACATAACAATGTCAAATGTGAATGAAACTATCGTAAATCAATATTACGAATATAAAGTTTATAGTTTTTAAATTGTTTTAACATATAATTATGCGATTTGAACGTGATTAATTGTGTCGGTAATCAGAGGTCCAACGTAATCAATATAAATTATTATTGTACTATGTAATAACATACATTATATACACACAGGCCCGACGAGCTTATACAATTTTGCAATTTTATATTTTACCTAAAAACTCAAAACACAGATAAGTTAATCGTCGTAACATGTTAAGTCCTAAAACATAATTACCTATTAGTATTCGATGCGAGGAATATTACAATTTTAAGGGGCTTGAGTCCTAGCTAGTTACGTCGCAGATTACGAACATATATCTATCATAATACAAGATGAAATTTTGATTCATATATTTTAAATGTATAAATTATTTTTATACGGTGGGGTCAAGTACTGTATCAGGCTAAATAGACATTTTACACGATTCTATAATAAATTTAATAGTATGTACTTATCTATACATAATAATATGTTTACAAAAGAAAAAAAGAAAATAAAGAAAGAGTAAAATAATAATATATTATCGATTACCAAATCGAATATAAATAAAATGTCTTTTTAATTCATAAAAAAAATCAATAGCCAATATATTTACGGTAACATTGAATAAAAAAAACCATTAAAAAGTTTCATAAAAACAAACTTTGAAACGATTATTAGCTTGACAAGGTGTGGCTAACCACCTCGATCAAATAACTAGACATGCCACTTAAACAACTAGATTTTTGGGAACTTAAAAATTAAGAAAATATGATAAAAAATTAAATAAACACAAGTGTGCAGCGACGAAATGGAAATGCTTCCACGTATGTATATACATGTATAAAGGAAAAAACTTGTAACGTCTGTGTTTATATCGTACTAGAGTACTAAAAAAATATAAAGCGTAAATGAGTACGGAGAAAAAAATAATACATAATCTAAATAATGTGACTCTGTAACTCAAACGTTTATTATTATTACGATCGTTACTATGATTATTATTATTATAGTGGTACAATATTCCATGTGATTTTATTAGTTTTCTCGAATTTTCGAATTTAAGACAACTACCGCAGCACATAGTTTACGAATATTCGTACTCAAAATACGCACATAATTACTACCCGCAACCGTGTAAAGTTATATTTATAACTTAAAAGTTATATTTCAATGCGTACGTACATGAATACATCGTGTTGTACGTATTACAATTATATAAGACATGTATTCTCGTTGTATAACCGATTGTTTTTCCATCACGAAACACCCGAGAAAAGAAAACGTACGTGTGTTGATGCGAACATTTCAAGTATAATATTGCAACTCTCCCAGTCTGAGTGGCGTGCAGACCAAACGCGCGTAGGGCCTAAATGTTGGGGCATTAAAAACAAAATAATAATAATAATAAAACAATAAAAACGAAGAAAAAAATAATATATATAATAATAAAACGCTTGTAGGTAATTATAATATGATAATATAATAATGATAAAAAAAAATAAAAAATAAAAAACATGTATAATAATCACGCGCGGTACATTGGATTACAATATTTTTCATCGGTCGAATGTTTTTGTCTTCAGAAGATATCGGTCAGCGGTGGTTGCTGTGACGGCGAAAGCGAAAACGACGCGGACCAACCGCGATCGGGATGCGTCCGTGATGGTCTCGCCTGATCTCATATGCGCATCACCGCCGTCGTGTGCACGTACGAATACGATAAATATTCAAAATCTATGTCCAGTGATCGACTGTAGTCGTTTTCCAATTTTAATTTCCAAACGCAACGACCGTTAATTTATTATTATAAAAAAAAAAACGTCATTTTATTGGGCTGTAGTTGGTTGTGATGACACGTATTGCACGACGACGACGATAACGGTGTGCGCGCGCGTGTGCGTATGTGTTTTTGTATGTGTGTACGTTCGTGCGTGCGTGTGTGAGTGTGTGTGTGTTTTTATGTATGCGTGTGTGTGTATGCGCGTGTGTGTGTGTGTGTGTTTGTATGTGTTTTTCTGTGTGTGAGTGTGCGAAGACAAACAGAATGTTAGAGAGTGCACGCGCGCGCGGGGTATCACAACGAGGCAGGCGTCCCTGTCATCTGCCTCCAAACGGAGTGTCACATGGAGTTTATGTACGGCCAGCTGAAGCTGCTGCCACTCAACAACATGTCCCGGATGAGCGTCTCGATGGGTGTCTTGCCCACCAGCCGCACGAAGAACAGTTGCTCGATTACTTGCGAACTGACCGTGCGTAATGACGGTAGCCTGAGCAGTAGTTTGCCGAACCGGATTGGCTGGTTGGGATACTGCGTCCGGCAGTACTCCTCCAAGGCGCACTGCGACTTCTCCTGCAGCGACTCAATGTGCGCCACGTCCGACAATCCGCAAGCATCTAATGTGCGGGTGAAAAGAAAAAAAATAATATGGTCGTTATTATATTATCATTATTATCGTTATCATCATAATTATCATCATCGTCGTCATAGCTGACGGATTTACACAGATTATAAGTATGGCTCCGCTAGAAAATCGCAAGGGATCTGCTAGTTTTATTAATTGGCGCGACAAAGGTCTCTTATTACTTCGCGCGTTCGCAGGTAAAATTAACCCGTGCCATAGCGTGGGCTACGGACAGAGGATATTGATCATTTGAACAAAATATTTAAAAAAAAATAAGTACCAGTGTCCACACATAGTTGGTATCTTCGTATTTTGAAGCCTCGAAACGGTTTACCGCCCACCACTATCACTCGTTATATTGTAATCGGTGCAAATGTACACCGCGGAAAAAGTATTTAGTATGCGATCACTAATATGAGTTGTGGCCCGTACTTGAGTTAGGAAGTGAAATAATAACCCTTTGGCCTTCATTTTAATTACACCGTAAAAGAGTATACTAATTTAATTATACACTTAAAAAATGCTACATAAGAAACGACGTATCCTAATTTTCATATGTTTTTTGGTTATGATTATTTTAATTTCGAGCCATAATGATCATGTGCCACCGGTATATTTTCGTGGGTTTTTTGGTCATAAATAAATTACAAATAATATATTTGATTAAGTAACAACAAATTAATTTGAAAAATCGTAAAATTATGAAGACCACCGACAATTGCAGGTCTCCGTATAAACTCGGTGTACTAAAAATAAGAGAATGCTGAGCTTATAGGCGCGTGTAGCGAGACTCTCGAAAATTAATAATTGAACCAGATCGGTGTAACACGCTTTTAAAAAACGGATCTTATTCACGAAACGTAAGCCAAATTTATTCCCGTGATTTTGGTACGTTCTATGACGCGCGTTAGAACCGTATTTACAGTGCACACGTGCAGCGAGCTGTGTAGACTGTATACCCCAATACACACGTCGCCGCCGTCGGAATAATATGTTAATCCCCGATAGCGATGTGTGGCCGGTCGACCGCGGGCAGTGTTTGTTTTCCAACTCTCGGGGTTGTTACGTCCCCGCCGACCCTTTTTCCAAGCGCGTTATTTTACATTTTTTCCCCTCCCCCGTTTCCGATCATCGCAACCACCGAGACGCGCGCAAGGGATGATTCTTTAATTAGGCTTGCAGCTTGCTACGCCCGCATTAGCATAAGAGGGACGACGTCGGCGACTACTACTACTACTACTATTGCCACTACAGTCATAGTAGGTTGCGAAGAAGGCGACGCGGCGACACGTTACAATAATAATATTTGCCCTTTCAACTGGCCCCCGCGCGCGTCATCCGGTGGATCCGTGTGTTCGCGTACGACGTGTACACGTCGCCGCCGGGTCTTGGATGTCAAAAACTCGAGTCAACAAACGAGATTCGGCCCCGTAAAAACGCGCACCCCAAAAAAAACTTCTGACTTCCGCCTGAAATGTAGATTAGACGCGTGCGATCCCTCCTCATCACGACGACGCGGTAGCCGGCAGCACTAAGATCCCGTCGAGGTCAAACGGTAACGACGTGCGATGTCGTACAATATTGAAAATATGTGCGTGTGATCAATTATAGATATATTATTGATGCGTGAAAGTCAAATCACGTTATCGCCGAGTGACCGACTCGGCGATGATGAACGTGAGATACTTTTCGAATGTCTACACATCGGAGTTGATAAAGTGTAAATCATATTCTATCGTGTTTTAGAACAGACCGAACCTTAGTACCGAACAGCCACCGAGGTGCAAGTACAAGGTGTTTTGTAGTTTCCCCGCGCGATGAAACAGTTTTTTTTTTTATTCGTGCGATACAATATTTAAACGAGCCGTTTGACCTCGACAACCGATCTGTGAAGCCAAAGCTAGGGATGCGTGTAAACCCAGTGTCGCATTATAAAACATTAACACGACGTAATTTCATAACTACACACTAAAACAATGTATTTACATGGATGACGTAATAGTCGTCGTGTCTATTTAAATTGATAACGACGACGAGCGCGGTTGCGATCTTTTCTTATTGCCTTTTTTAATTTTTTTTTTTTATAAACGTATTTTTCATCCGATACCAGTCAACCAACTGTACGCTGTAGCGGTGTAAATACGTAATACGTATATCATTTAAAGTTTTTTCTTCTCTCTACGATCGTTTCTTTGGCTCGTTGTTCATTTGGAGTGATGTTTTTAAAATCATTTTTTTTAACTCTTGCCGTTATTTAAGAGAGCGTGTGGCGCTCGCGCACATCATATTACGACAGGCAATTATGCGTGAACGAGATCATTAATTAAAGGGCGAATAAAAAACGACGACAATACACACGAACAGTCAGAAGATGTGCGTAAAAATAATTATAATATACTATTGGTCACTAGGCCTCCTTGCGTTCTGCGGCCGAGTCGCATTTTCACCGATTTGACTTCTTTTGCTCGTGGTGCATGTTGTACGAACGCGTTGAAACGCGTTTGCAACATAGCCATTCAGAACATTAATTATATACATGATGAGACGTGGAGAGTGTTTTGCGTAATGATTACGCACATTTCGAATAAGAATATTTACAACATTTTTACATTATTCATTTGAAATATAAGCTTGCTTGGCAGGTTTATGCGTAGTTGTTCGATAATAATTGATTCGAGGTAATAATCCCATTTAGTGACGCGTCTGCAGGCTACTAGATATATAAGTATCATCAACCGTATTTTTGTTACGATCGTTTTTTATAGATTTTTTTTTACATTTTGACGGAGAAATTTTGAAAATTTTCGGGCTAACCGAGTTTCTCTCTCCGAACCGTTTTCCGACCGCGAAAACTGTCATGGTCAAATTAAAAGTATAACGACACTCCAAGAATTTATCGCATGAGCACGAAAAGAGTCGCTACTGTCAACTTGTTTGATAGTTGTTTTTAATTGTTTATAATATTATAATTAAATGTTGAATATATTTTCGACATTAATTTTATCTCCTCACCGTTACAAGTTTTCAGTCCTTTCGTGTAAAATCCCATTACCGACTGTATGATATACTCGTATATCATACCTAGCCAGGGCCGAATTAATCTAGGTGCAAAAGGAGCATTTGCTCCAGGGCGGCAAATTAAGCGGGGTGGCATAAATAAAATTGCCTCAAAAAAAGGATTTATGATAGTCATTAATACAAGAAAAATGTTCGATTTATCAATTTTATATATAGAATCTGATTTGGTTGAGAAAATAAAGTGAGAAGAACTAACATAAAAACTTCCATTAAAGTAAACTATTAAATCCATAAAAAAATATATTTAAAGAAAAATAAATAATATTATAAAAAAAAAATAATATATTATATATAGTTGTAGGGTTTTAGTTTTTTTTTTTTTTAATTGACGTTAACATTAAAAATTACTTTAATTATTATCTGTATAATTTAAACGAATTTATTAATATTATAATTGTATTTTCCATTAGTTTAAAAAAATTCTTTGCAAAACTATTCTGTGACATTAAACATATACCTATTTATACTTTTTAATTTAAGTAGATTAATTATTCTATTAGGTACTCATATTTTATAATAGTATTTAATTTTTTTAATCTATACATAGAAACAATTTTTTTTTTTTCGGGTTCACCTAAACATTATTTGCTCCAGGGCGACATCGGCTCTTAATCCGGCACTGTACCTAGCCCAAAATGTGTTCATCATCACTTTTTCAATTAACAATCACTATTTACAACTATAATATCACCTTGATTTTCAATCAAACGTTCGAGCAGCACCCCTTGGACACGGATCGTACGAATATTCTACCTCAGAATCGACCACGTATGACAATGCTCGCATATACTGCTCTTATACTGCTGGACCCGTACGGCGTTTCGATATGTGGTTGTTTTCGTCGAGCTGTCGCGATTTGTTTTTTGTTTTTCACTGAGTTCGTCCCCTACAATAACATCTAACCCTGCGATCACCCCTCGGTAAACTACATATTTTTTTTCCAGAGGTTACGACAATACATGCGACGGACGGACAAACCGCCACTCGTTCGGTCAACCGCGCCGGCTACACGCAAATCTTCAGCACCCTCGCGCACGACCTACCCACCGATATTATATGCACTATTATTATTTTAGATATGATAACGCAAATGTCGCTCGCCCTAAATGTGCGCTTATTACTATATTACTATATTACTATGTATAATGTATATATATATATATACGCGTAACACGTCGTTTTCACGCAACAAAATCGTTTTTATTAAATGGCTGGACGTGAATGCATGCGCGCGCACCCCAGTTTCTTACGCATTTTTGTTATTTGGTTTTTATTTTTTTTCCGCGTTACAGCGATTTTTCGCGTCGCGGGGAGATACGCGCACGTATAATAATGAAAACATAAAAACCATCTGGGGAAGAAAAAGCATTCAAATATTATTATATATATCAGTTTATACGAATAACGTTGGTTGGTCGAGGGGTTGGTAGTGGTGATGGCGATGACGACAACTAGTCGCATCGACTTTTCGACTCTTTGTCAATTAAGTTCACGGTGGGGATGGAAATGGCGTGGACTCGAGGGAATATAATATATTATAGTGACGGAAAGTTTTGAGACTCTAATAACGCGGCCGGAGTGCCGTTTTAAGCTAATTGCGAAATGAGAATAAAAACAATATACCGCGAAAGAGCAAAACCGTGATTTCACGTATATATAAGGTATATACAAGGGTTGCGCGTATTATTTTGTTATTATTATTAAAATATAATTCGAAAGGCGCGAAAACCTGCGGCAAAGTTCAAAACTTCGGCCAGTCCCGAATAGTGATTCGTCGCACAAGGTGACGTCACCGCTATCCGCCTAATAACCCGAAACGCGATTTACATAAACATTAAAACAAAAACTTTACCGTGACTCGAGGAGGTTTTTTCGGAATTGAATTAATCAATTGTCGCCACCGTTGTGGCTCAC